TTTTCTATGTGCTGACATGAAGCCTCAAAACATGTACCTATTTTATATTTATGTATTGATTGCAGGCCTGACTCAGAATTCAGGTGAAACAAGCAAATAACACAATTTATTTCATTGATATTTTGAATTTGAGTCTGGCATTACTGTTCCATGCACAGGTGCGTCTGCGTATAAAATCATATGAAGGAAATGCATTAGGTAAATAGTCTTGACAAATAGAAATAAGTAGTAGCACAGGTGGTATAAATGGGAACCAATATATACGGGGATAAGCTTGTTTAGTTAGCAACTGTCAATTACATAACTTTTACATAAACAAGAATGGGCTTTTCAGCAATAAGCATGTCAGAAATCCTTTTAAATTCAAAAATTTCACACAAAATTTGACAGTTTAAATACATATGATAAAATCTGGTAACAATTAATATTTAAAAGAGGTAACAATAAGCTTCAACTTTGCACGCAAGATGTGCCAAAAATTTGGTGAGAAATCTCTTGCGCTGAATTTTGAGACATGAAAGCGGAAAGCCCCTGACGCATCTGACAGTGTGTGAATTTTTTTTCCAGTCTGGGAGGTAAGCATAGATTGATTTGTTATTTGATGCTATTTTATTTTACAAATAAGTAGTTATTTTCACAAAGTATTAATATTTATAGAAGCTAGCCTCTTCCGAAACAATTTACGACCATTCCATCTCCTTCTCATTATCTTTTCAACAATGCTAAGGCATTTTACAACTTAATATGAGTTAATCATGCTCCTTTTGAAAGCCAAAAATGACAAAAAAGGTTAAACCGGGTTGAACTGAAACGTTGCTGATCTGCCTATGATACTCATGCTTATACAGTTGAATTGAATACCTGAGCTGAACTGCTGAAGCTGGTCATTCTTCATGATCTTTGAGACAAGTGTGTGAATGCCACTTATGTGTATGCTTTTCCGATCTTCAAACACATAAAAAGTGATATTAATATCAAATAAACAATATTCAAACTCTGTATAACAATACACGCAACGGCTGGAAAACACTGCGCCGGTGCGCCAGAATTGACAGCATCGCCTGAATCTCAGCGACCAATCAGCTTTCGACCATCCCAGTGACGTCACATTGGCAGCATTTGGTAGCCATTTCCCTCCTATTGCCCGGTAAAGGGACGGACCCCCCCTGGACGGGAATAAAAGCGCAGAAGACCGGGCGAAACATGCGACGGTCTTGCCGGAAAGGTCATCTGATGATTGTTGCGTTAACAATAATTTGCGGCGTTGGACGTGATGCTTGTTAATGAAAAGAGCCCCTGAAAGGCGTCGGTGAAATCGTTCCCAATTTTGGGTACGCCGTTCCCATAATAAGGAACGCTTGCAGCGCCAGTGTACGAGAGCGTTCCCAAATTTGGGCTCGCGGCCCGGATGATGGACTGCTTTCGAAATAGGGGAACGATTTGAAACTACGATGGGCCTTACAATATCAAACTCTTTCCCAACAATATTGAGACAAATATCAGGTGGTTCACGATCGTTTTATATTTTTTGGACGTCATTTAACGGCTCTTTTTCTTGTTTTAAATAATGCCTACATGGCGTTCCCATATTTGGGTTTATCGTTCCCAAACATGGGAACGAAAATGCGTTCCCGAAAATGGGTACGCTTGACCATAGTTCCGCCTACTGACATTGCAGTATGAATAAGATAGGTATACACAATAAGAATTTATTTGGAGTTTCAGAAATAATGTTGAAAATTTTCAAGCATTTTCATTTAGATTCATATTATGCTTAGACTAATACGTTAACATACACGTCATGCAGCCTGCAATTTAGTTACATGATGTTCTATTCTATGCAATTTTTGTAAATATATGTATCAAATAACAGTGGCATTTTGCATTTTGCTTCAGTGAAACAGAATATTGTTACCAATTGCTCTGTTTGTCTATGATTTTTAGGCAACTCTGTCTTTGCATTGTCCGAAGCCTGAAGTCCGACAATGAAGTCTGTAGAGGGTTCTACCAAATGTGCTGATGATGCACCCAAGGAACTTCTGCACAAGCTGCATGTAGAATATTTGGCAACATATTCAAGCAATCCAAAACATGCTATGGTAAGTACCTAACTACCTATGCATTCCAGATCTTGTAATGAAGTCTGACAATTAGTAGGAATGATTTTTTTTTGTCATTAAATGCATGTGTAGCCTGAGCAGCACTGACATTTTTGCTGATTTTATGCTTATCTTTATCTTGCTGCAACTACTTACTGTCTTCAGTATAACATTATGTCACTCACATCATGAGTTTTGAATTCATAATGACCAAGATTACATAGAATATCTCTTGCTTTTCAGTGCTCATTATCAGTAGCAACATAATTCCTGAGAAAAAGGACCTGGTAAATCTAGCACATCGCACCCATCCATGTTTTCACCTTCTTATGTCTCCCCATCTCACTCCCTTACAGGAGAACACCATTTCTGAGTACCTGCGTATGAGCGGCGCCTACTGGACGCTGACCGGACTGTGGCTGCTGGGTGCCGCCGACCGGCTGGACCGCTCCGAGCTGCTCCGGTTCATCGGCCAGTGTCAGACGCCGGCCGGCGGGGTGGCCGGCTCCGTCGGACACGACCCGCACCTGCTCTACACCCTCAGCGCCGTACAGGTCAGGACGGGGCCGGTCAGGTCATGACGAACTCTAATTGAGCAGCCTGTCCTGTACTACTTTATGCTGATTCAGAGTTAATTTGACATTTGTGCTGTCAGATTTTGTCTTGAGGTCGGCACAGTGCGGCCGTTTGTGTGTCGTTTTGCTCAGAGCAGTCTAGCGCTGATATTGTATGACGTACATATGATGTACCTCACGCGTGTCAGACTGATGCGCGTGTGACGCACGCTTCTCCTTTTCGTCCTGTCTTGATATTCGGCGCCGCGCACTGCTGGGCAGATCTGCTGCATGTACGACGCGCTGGACACCCTGGACGTACCTCGCCTGGTGGAGTATGTGGCCGGCCTACAGCGACCTGATGGCAGCTTCCAGGGCGACGCCTGGGGAGAGGTGGACACCCGGTTCTCGTTCTGCGCCATCGCCTGCCTCACACTGCTGGTCAGTCAGACTGCAAAACAGTTTTACGGACAACTTAATATAGTAATGAGCGATAAACAGTGACAGAGTTCACATAAGCTACATTTCCATGGCACAGGTTAGGCCGACTTTGCAAAATGGATTTGCTCCATCATAGCATTTAGGCATCATTTATCAATGTAAATATGGGCTTAGGTGCTGGATAATGCCATACGCTCTTTTTCGCATAAGGTAAATAGTATCTGAGAAAAACGCACGTGAAATTTCGTTAAATGGATTTAGATGTGTCATGGAAACGCAGTGATTGTCGGACTTTGTCGGATGGTGTCGTCCGTGGTTTCAGTTTCCCTCGTGTACGGTATCAGCTATGAGCCGTTGTCTTTTTTATTTTTGCGATCTATCAACGTGTTTTGTGATAATCTGCCCCCAACCAACCTTTGTCGCAAAAATTTCTGATTGTTGTGCTACCGTTTCCATTATTTTGTTACCAACTGGTAGGTAAGCGGTTTCATTCCTGTCACTGGAATTTACACCTCAAATGTAACATCCCTTCTTATTCCGCGGCGCAGAACCGTCTGGATGCGATCGACACGGCCGCCGCCGGCGAGTTCGTCCTGTCGTGCCACAACTGGGACGGCGGGTTCGGCTCTCGGCCGCGCTCGGAGAGCCACGCCGGCCAGATGTACTGCTGTCTGGGCGCGCTCAGTCTGCTGGGCCGGCTCGGCGAACTGGACGCCGACCGCACCGGCTGGTGGCTCTGTGAGCGCCAGCTGCCGGCCGGCGGCCTGAACGGACGGCCCGAGAAGCTGCCGGACGTGTGCTACTCGTGGTGGGTGCTCGCCTCGCTGTCCATCATCGGCCGGCTGCACTGGATCGACGAAGAGAGCGTTACCAGGTGAGTGCTGGCTGAGAGCTGGTGGCTGAGGGCTGAGAGGCTGCAGGGCTGCTGGTCTGAGAGTTTGCTGTAACTGAGCTCACTTTCTGTCTGCCTCATCTTAGCAACACTTATGTCTCCCTGATTAACCTGACCGCGCTGCGCTGGCCGCTGACTCCCTCACGACCCGCCGTCTCTGCTTCTAAGTTCTAACACCGTCTGCTTCAGGTTCATCCTTGCCAGCCAGGACGGCGAGGACGGCGGCATCTCGGACCGTCCCGGAGACGTCTGTGACCCGTTTCACACGCTGTTCGGCCTGGCCGGACTGTCGCTGCTCGGGGACCGCTCGCTGGCGCCCATCGACCCCGTGCTATGTATGCCGACAGAGACAGTGCGGGGACGCGACGTCAGGCCGCAGATACTCACACTGTGAGAGAGGACTGGTGATATAGACTGCGAATGTTAATGTCGCTGGCAATCATTTACCGAAATATGACGGCATTGGTGATGATGTGTACTGAGTGATTACGCTATTAGTGACTGGTGTGCGATGTCAGTCACTAGTCGAAGCGGTATGCTGAGTCTCACTGCCGCCTTTAAGTCTGGAATATCGCGAGGCTGTCACTACCTCCCATTCAGTCAGCCAGTTTAGGGCATTTGTGAGCGTCACTTCACTGATAGGGTTTTGTCGTATTGTCGCCAGCCCAAAGGAAAGGCGTCCGTGATATTATAGCACTCCTTGGCAGCGTCACGTCTACCTATGATGTGTTGTATGCGTTTCAGCCATTGTGTCAATGATTTGATTCAGTCAGATTAACTTTAATATGGTTCTTCGTAGCATGTGTGTGGTCATCTTGTTGTATTATAGGTCGATGTCTAAAACGGCTTATGTGTGCTGTCGCCTTCTGTGATTTATCGCCTGGGTACTGCATATTTTTTCCATCCATCGTTTAAAAAGTTTTTTTTTTTAGCATACTCTTATACAAATTGTATTCACCCAAAAATAAATAGCACTGCACCGGTAACAGACGAAACTGGTTCGTTCGAACGCAGCATAATATTTGTCATCGCAGCATAATATTGTCATGAGCCGAGCCGCGTGTTCCACATTGCGCAGCGGCATATAACTGAGCTGCACCCATCATATGTCGGGGACACAAGTCACAAGATTCACCCTGTCACCCTACCACAAGATTGCGCCATGGGTTGGATTATCCCACATAAAATCCGTAACGGCCCCGGACAACGCCGCAGGCGGATCCGCGCGCACACGGCTGTCTCACATTGGGAGCTATTAGCCGCGGGTAGGACGGGCTCGGCAGACGGCGGATCAGGCCCGGCCCGATCAGACAAACCCAGGAACCGCATCACAGTGGCACATCACACGCTGTCACGCACGACTCACAACATAGTTACACAGCAACTCGCAGCGCGCATCAGCGCAGATCGAGACAGAGTTCCACCCGTCGACGGAGATTGGGGCCAAAATCACACCTCGGTCAGACTGAGGGACACGATTCGCGCGCCGTCACAGCCCCGTGCACAGAGCACCATCCCAAGCTACCGCAGTCGCTTACACAATTCGCTCGTAGAACAGCATGTAAGCCTGTGCCTTGAGCACCTTGTCCAGAGTCACCTCTGTGACGTGCGTGTCGCTCACGTAAAACCACCGTCCGGCCTCCGGCTGCGGCTCCGGCTCCGTCTCGGGCTCCGGGCCGGGCTGTTGTTGGTCCATCTGCGGCTCCTGTGGTAAGGCAGCGTCGTCCCCACCCTCCCCCTCACCCCGGTCTTCCTCTGCGGGTCTGACCGGGGACGGTCCGTCCGTGGTCTCCGGTCGGGTCTGTTCGGCGCGCTGCCGCGCCCGCTCACACGCCACGGCGAACGCGTCGGTGACGAGTGTGGTGAGTCGCGCAGGGTTGACGGTGAGCTGGTCGTGACGGCGGCGCACGCGCACGTAGGCTGTGTAGTGGCCGCTGGTCAGTCGACCGCTGTGCTCGACGACACCAAACAGCGAGTAGAGCACCCGCCGCTGGCCGGCCCGCATCTGAGGCAGGTCCTGTCGGTGAGAGAGGATGTCACACTAGTGCCAGCGTGTGTGCTGGTGGATTATCGGCCGGGCGGCAGCGGGGTGCACTGGCGGCGTTGTGTGAGCATTTCGCACGGGGCAGGGAGGCTGCGTGGCACATAATCGGGTAGGGTTATTCGATCAGTATACGGTGAGGCTTACATATGGGTACGAGAGATGAATCACTGAATGTTCCATCATGAATGACTGAATGAGATGAATCACTGAGGTCAGTAGCAACGAGCTACGACATTGAGCCACGAAACATAACGGATGCACACTACGCAGGCGGCAGGGATAGTAAAATGAAGCTTTCGGGCATGTCGCTGTCTGCTAGACTGATGAGTGACGGAGGGATCACAAGTCACCCAGCCTGCTGCCATTACATACCTGGCTAATGGAGGAGCAGAAGGGGGCCAGATCGAGCCGCTCGCCGAACTGCACGTGCCGGTTCACCTTCCGCAGGCTGAAGCTGCACACCTCGAACCGCTTCAGGTGGATGGTCAGCACCGGCGGCGGGCTATAGATGAGCAGCTGCTTGCTGGCGTTGCTGTAGACCGTGCCGAGCTTCTTCTCAGCCGCTGTTGAAAAAGTGGAGGGAGGGAGTCAATTATGGAGTTGGATCAGTAGGATTTGCTAAGTGTATTAATGTGAGGCATTTGGGGTAGCGCATCTGTAAGCCTGATATTGTCATTAATTTATCGCACAATTATGAAATCTGAACAGAAATTTCTGATAAATCCGTCCATCTCACGCTTAACATTCACCGACTTGAGAGTAAACACTTGACATATTGTCAAGCAAAATCTGCAATGACATAATGTTCTCCTGATTACATGTAGACTGTAGAGGTGCCCAGCCCTGACACTGTCCCCGCCCCGCTTGTCACCCCAAGTCCGCACCTTTCTCAGCCGCCGTGAGCCGTTTGTTGCGCAGCTCCGTGCAGTTGTCGCAGCCGAACTTATTGTTGCCGGTGAGCAGCTCGGGCGCCGTGTACTGGTTGAGGCAGGTAAGCAGGCTGCACTCGCCGGCGGCCGCCTGGTAGCGCGGCGCCAGGGTGGTCAGCGCTCGACTGAGCCACTCACAGCGGCTCAGCGGCGGCGGCGGGCCGTCCGAGGCGGAGGCCGCGGGTGAGGGATCCTCCTCACCGGTCCCCGTCCCTTCGGCCGGGGCAGACTCGGTGGGCGCACAGGTCCCGCCGTTCGGCGCAGACTGGGGGTCGCCGAGGTCCGCCGCCCCTGCCGCTAGGCTCTGACCATTCGCCGCTGCCTCCGTCGGCCCACCGCCACCCGGTACCTCACCGGGTGACGGTGACTGACCCTCCCGCGGGGCCTCCTCCGCCGCCTGGCCGCAGTGATCGTTCGGAGCGCCCAGACCGTTCTCACGCGCCTCCACTCCCTCTCCGCAGTTCTCCGCCGGCACAGAACTCTGCTTCTCCCCCACCTCGGCCGCTCCCGCCGTCTCCGGCGCACCGTTCGCCGCTTTGTCGACGCCCTCCCCGTCCCCACCGTCCGCCTGACCCCTGGCCGCGTCTCCGGCTCCTCCGGGATCCTCCTTATCCACCGGCACACGGCGGGCGTCTCCACCGACCAGTGGCACCCGCCCGGCCGGCGCCGCGTCCGGCTCCACCGGCGACGGCGCCCGGCCGTTCGCGGTCAGCGGGCCCGGCTCGTCCCCACACGAGTCCGCAGCGGCCGCGGCGCCGGCGCGGTCCACAATCAGAGCACTGAGCCGCTCCGAGAGCTCCTCCGCGGCCAGGTCGGCCGGCGGGTCGGGGCTGACCGAGGCGGGCGGCTCGTCAGCCGGCGGGTCGGGGCTGAGCGAGGCGGGCGGCTCGTCAGCCGGCGGGTCGGGGCTCACTGAGGCCGGCGGTTCGTTCAGCTCGTCTTCCGTCGATTCCCCGCTGACCGAGGCCGGCGGCGGGTCGAGCTCCGACAGCAGGCTGAAGATGATCGGGCCCGTGTCGCCGTTATCCTCCTCGTCTGCGTCACTCTCACCTGCGGCGGAGCGAGAGCGGGTGGGTGGGATCAGGCGGCCGACGGCTGTAGCCGAGATGGGATAACAAAGCGTGACTGGTGACGAGAAAATGTCTCCACGAGAAAATGTCTATGAGAAAATGTCAAGAAATGGCAACGGTGGACAAGTATAACGACATCAGAACCAGACGACAAAAAAAGGTATAAATGCATGCAACATGATCATACAGTACTCGTATACACGGTATTTTGTGTCACCTTCTGCGTGGGCGACGTCCGACTGTTTGTCGAGCTCCTGTCCGGAGTCGCTGGCCGGCTGTCTCTCCGGCTCCGGGGCCGGATCCGGGCCCGTACCGTCCGCCTCCGCCGCCGCCGGACCTTCGGGCACGAGGGATCCGGGTCAATATTAGGTCGACTCAGCGATACAAAAGATGCCAAATATCTAAGCAAACAATTTATAGCCATGCCAATTAAATACCACATAGCTGGGACCGAGAAGAACTCTCCCTCAGAAGCGTGAAACGGAAATTGAAGCAGCCCATACATAGTGCATGCACATTGCAATGCAATGCAGTACTGTATTGTACACGTCTTACATGTATTATCTGTCGTATTTTGTCTAATTGACTAGATCCACACACTAGTCGTGTCAAATACAACCTAACTAAACTATACTTATGCGCCCTAATGCGGTACCCGTAAACCCCCGTGCACCAGGCACCAGCATAAAAACTACAAAAACCCTGTAGCCCAGCACACCAGCGAGTCTTAGCGCCTTCCAGGGACTGTCCACACTTACCATGCTTCTTGGCTCGCCGCGCCGCCTTCCGTTCCTTTTTGAGCGCGTGTTTGGAGGGCCGCCCGGAGCCGGTGGCCTTGCTGGGTGTGAGTACGTACTCTCCGCTGTCCTCGTCGTCTGCCCCCGTACCGCACAGCTTCCTGGGCCGGGTCGGCTGCGGGAGGGTGGAGAAGGTGAGGGGATACACGGCACACACAGACAGGTGGTAACAGACAGCGAGCGCTCAAAGTCGAGCAACAGACGAACAGGTAGTCATGGAGTAACGACGGAGAAGAAAGCATAAATAATTATGATGGAGACGGGACGCATTCATTAGCAAAAACTCAACAACGGTGATGCCAAAATGCTGATAAATCCATGAGATCTGACAGAGGTAGCTCATGCTCAATACTCATCTAATAACCTGCCAAAGACAACTCCTGCTCACCTTATCTTCTGCGACGGGCAGCGAAAGGTCGAGGAAGGGCTCCATGCGGTGTGTGCGGGCCATGCAGGCCTGACACACCACCAGGCTGACAAGCTGGCCGCTGAAGATGGAGTCGATGGTCGTATGCGACACCTGGCGGCCCAGCGCCTTGGCGCGCGCCTTCATGTCGTCCGGTACCTCCTTAGGGTCGGCCTTGGCCGGCAGCCCCAGACCGAGCAGGATCTGCTTCTGGTGCCGCTGGAAGCCGAGTGGGGAGGACGCCGGTCACCAACTGACTAGAACGACCGCATACCATTGCTGCTCATACACTGTCCACTGAAATTTACCAGCAGCCGGCCCGCACTGCTGCACTGGCCTGAAGAAAGCAATGCATAGAGATCCCGAAAAAAAAAACAAGGACTAAATTGAAGACTATGCAATGCTAAAAAACCGGAGACCTATGTAATGACCACATCACCACAAGACAGACGGCCCGGCACAAGCCAGTCAAACTGGAGCTACGGAGACGCAGAGTGCGCGGAACACTTACCCGCAGATCCTCAAGCCGCGCCTGCTCCATGAGCGCTCGCAGCAGCTCGTGTGCGTCCTGCTGGTCGCAGCCCACAAACTGGGGCACCTTCAGGGCGATCTACCGGACAGAACAGAGACACAATGTTTGTTGAGTCGTTCAAGGTGGCGTCTCCTGAAGACTAGGTAATTCGGTGAAACATTTAACAATCTTATCAGATGGTCGGTGGACTGATCGCATTTCTATTTGGAAGGTAAATTGAGCTGAGGACATCTCACGTCATTTGAAGGACAAAAGAAACATGGCACCGTTCTGAGCAGGTGACTGGGGGGGGGGGGGGGGGATATTATATATCTCACCTTTCTGAGCAGATGACTGGGGGAGACGGTCGACCCGGTGCCCGTGATGTGCATCTGCTTGAGAAAGTCGCACAGCGAGGCGGTGATGGGCCCGCCCTCCGGCAGCACCAGCTCCATCGTCTGACGGCGCGGAGACGCGGACAGCAGGGTCAGACGTTTCCGCGCAGACAGACTAACACAGACAGACTAGACGCAGACAGACAGGCACAAAGAGCAGACAGACTAGCTAGATAGCAGCCATCATCGACATCCGGCACAGCGTGAACGGACATCAGTTACAGACAGAGGAGAGTCAGGAGACAGCAGTCAGACTGGAGCCGTCTGATGACCGACCGCTGGGTTCGCCGGGCACTCAAACACCCATGGCGTCTTTTATCCTCTCGGCCACTCTCCCCTTCCTGACTCTCTCTCTCTCTCTCCCTCTCTCCCTCCCTTTCTTTCTCGAGTCTCACCTCCCCGTCAGCGCTGACTGTGACCTTTCGCCCGGAGCGGCTGCTGATGTCTAGGTAGTGCGTCAGGTAGTGGCACTGGCTCAGACACTGCAGCACCGAGTTCAGGTAACACGAGTTACCCAGGTTGATCAGACCCTGTCGGAGGAAAGAGAGGTCCCGCAGTCAGTTGTGGAGAGTGATTTGTCCGTGCTCCTGTGAAGGTCCAATAACAGATGCGCTAAAACTTCCATTGATATTGTGAATTAATCACGGAGGCACTTGAAAAGCAAAGACAGATTCAACGGCAAACAGCAGATCGACCCCGGAAAACTCACCTTGACCTTCGGAAGTGACTCGTTATCACGGTCCGCTTGAGCCTGTTTCTCCTTAGCGGAGGCGCCCTTGGAAGACTTGGGAGGCGGAGTGTCCTCCTTGGATGGCGTGGCTGAAATACATATACAATACCCATCAAATATTGCAACTGCCGTCAGTCGATCAATAAAGTCCAAGGTTCAAAATTGCGATCGTTAGACAAACAAAGGGGTCAATAAACCGTTGTGTAATAGTAAACCAAAGAGCGAGACTATGCAGTGGCACTAAGTTACCTACCCCCGGGACGTAGAGTTCCCTGCTTTTTCTTGACAAACTGCACAGCTTCGTGAAGTTTCTTATTGCTCTTCAGTGACACTTTCTCGTTACATGTGAAACACCTGGAAAGACAATACAACATAATAAGCAACAGTGAAGCTTATCATTGTGTGGAAACACTGCGATGTGAATAAGTGCGTGTTGTACGTTCCTAGCCAAATGTAACATTGGGTTACGAAGACGTTAATAGTTTCCTTAGACAGCCACGACACGTCAGTGTAAAGAACAGTTCCCGAAACGACCCGCCGAGCGTGGAACCAAGAGCCTGCCCCACCGCATCATCCTCATCACTGTCATCAGACGGCCCAGTCGGCAGTCTGCTGCCCCACTCCGTGACCTCACGCCCACCCCAGCATCCTCACCAGACGCCCCAGTCGGCGGCGGCGTTGACGGCCAGCGTGTGCGAGTCGGAGCGCGGCGTGTTAAAGTGCTGCGTGGCGTGCCTCGCGCAGCCCTGGTGGCCGCACTGCATGCACAGCCAGACGCCGTGCGGCAGCTGCGCGCCCGACGGCACCGACTGCTGAAACACAGACACAGACAGATACATATACTGGCCAGACAGATACTGCTACAGGTACAGGCAGCTACAGATCTCCGGGAATGAGGATGTGTCTCATGAGCTGAAGGAGATGATATAAACTCCATGTCAAACAAGACACTGGTACAAGACTGGTCCAAGGCTGATCTGGTTTTAACCACCAACTATAAGTCACCTCACGTCATCATCGGTCACCGGCTATCACCTCACACCAGCGGGCGTCCCTCACCTCCTCCCCATCCGCGGGTGCCGTGCACGGGGTCGGAACCTTCTTGTCGCAGGCGCCGATCCGCCGGTTGGACTTCAGCTGCCGCTTAATGTCAGCCAGGCTGACACTCTTGCCCACGTGCTGGCACATGCTTATACCTAAAAACAGAAATACCTAGGTTCGGATCTTTGTAACATACTTGTAGGGACTGGCCTCCCCAGCTTCAGACTATTAGACTATGAGACTAGCACTACATAAACAGAAACTGATGAGCACATACAACTTCCACTTCATACCTAACTAAAAGCTGAAATTCAGCAAAATTACAGACTGGATTTCAGCATATGAAGGTCTATTATTCAGAAATTAAATTGAAATAAACATTCCACCAAAAGTATTTTTATTGGGAGGGTAACACTACACACATAATTGATAAAAACAAACCTAACTGGAAGCAGTTTATCCAAGGCCAAGGTGGGGTTTCAAAATGTTCATGATTCGACATTTTCAAAGCCTGTGGAGAAACTCACTTGTTTCGATTTCCTCCTGGAAAGCAGAATCTGATGACTCTCCCAAATCTTGACAGCTTGGTTTGTGCTCAATGCCTCGTTTCACCATGATCACCAGCAGCTACAGCTACAAATGCTGAAAATGCAGCCAAACAGTCTGGTCAAATGGAATCTGGAATGTTAAGCCAAACTACCAGCAGAAGTCCACAACAATCACAAGGTGATAATGTTGTGAACATGCCACAAGGAAGTCTTAAAAAGCAATAATCTATTATTTTACATGTCCTTGGAAGTTTTTACTAGAAGCATCAAGCCATAGGAAATGCAGCTCTTTGCAGCTTCCTTTCTCACTATGCTGCCTCCTTGAAACCAAACATTAGTAACAAAGCAAACTGGTGTGGTTATGTACCTAGGCAGATTGAGATGCAAAATGAATTCTGAATTGGCTTCATTATTATGGGAAGCACAGATAACAGTAAAACTACTGTTACTACTGTTATCTGTGTGGAAACTTATTCAAACCTATGAAAACAAAATAACACAAGACCTAGTGACTCAAGTGGGTCAGCCAGGTGAAGGTGTTTGAAATCTCGCTCTGATCCAGTCTGAAGTGCAAAGCAGCTTTTACTATTGTGTGGCTGACAGCTCCACAGTGTTGAGGGACTGCACAATCCCAAAGCACCTGTGCATTGTGATGAATAGTGAATACATCAACAATGGTTACCCACCAGCAGCCTCATGGCAATGACTGTTGAGAAAGGCATGCAATATTTTAACCTTTCAAAAATCCTAAATCCTATATGTTCAAACAAGCATATTATTTACAAAAATGAAGGCACTGATAAGAAATTGCATGTAAAATACTCAACAAAGTTGACATCATAGTTTAACCCGCGCCCGGCTACGGGTCCTGGATTTCCACGCCCTGCTGGGGGGGGGGGTGTTTGAACACCCCCCCCCCCTTGTAACTCGGCTCCTGGGCCACGTAGCGATACGTGGAAGGCGGCGTTCGAAAGAGCGTCAAAAATAATGACGAAATCACTTCGGTCAATTTTTTGGTCAGGTCAAAGGTCAGGTCACCAGAGGTCATTGAAGGCAAAATTTCGCCGATTTCCAGGTCGAATGTCGAGAATTTCCAAGAAGCCAACGCATAACTCGGGAACCAATAGAGCTGCAGCGCCGCGGAAAAGCGCATTCGATAGCCCTATTAACGCCCTTTCTGAGTAATTCTCTCAGATTTGACCTAACGTCAACGGTTTTGCCTGCAGGGGGCAAAAACTGCAAAAAAAAGCCGATTTTTTTCGGAAACAGTTTTTCTGCAATAACTTTTGACCCAAGCCCTGTACGAGCTTACTTTTGCCGGCATCGTGTTCCTCTCGTCAAGACGCATCGAATGAACTATAACTTGACCTTGAAAGGTCAACTTGAAAATTTGACCTCAGGTCAAGGTCATGACCTGACCGGAAATGGTCATGTTGCATATCAGTCGATCCGTATCGTCGAGCTGAACACATCCAAGGCGTTTTCATCGCTCTAGCATGCCTCTATCAAAAGTTATTTGCGAAAAACTGTTAGATACCATTCGTGACCTAAGATGACCTCAGGGCATAAACAAGGGTCACGGACACCATTTTCATGTTCAGTGTGTCTAAACCACTTGTAATTCGGTGTTTGGGAGTGTTTATAATGTCTTTCGTCCAAAAGAGGCGCATTTTAATTTTCTCCCATTGACTTATAATGGGGAGGTCGCAAAATTAACCTGACCTTAGGTCATCGATATCAAAATTCTGAGATATACATTTTGTACATGCTATTGCTCTTAGCAATCGCTGAAAGTTTCAAAGCGATCGGTCACTCAATGTAGCTATGACAGACATTGAAACTTTTTATGAGGTGAGGTCACTTCAAGTGACCTGGTGACCTGACCTTGAATGACCTTGGTCTGAAATTTTCACAACATGTGTAGAATTAATGTATGATAAGGTGTACCAAAAACGCCGTGAAAAACCACAAGGGGGGTGTTCAAACACCCCCCCCCCCCAGCAGGGCGCGGGCTAATAGAACCCCAGCCAAAGGCCTGAAGGAATAGGGCCTTAACAGTTAACTCCTATCTTTGCTTGGATTCCTGTCTGTCAGTCTACAAGGAACACATTTTATTCTTCCACATCTAGATCTTATGAAGCCTGATTCAGACACATCTCAAAAATATTCTATGAATGTTTTTTTTTACTTAGACATACATGTCCTTTTTATCTTATGGTCAGATTCAGATTCTAACATTGACTATGTTTTTCACAAGATTGTCCACAATGCAGACAGATGCACAAGACCACTATCATCCCCATTCCTTTTTTTAATTTTGAGGTTCCACATTGGGTAGCCTAGCACTAAAAGGAATTCAAAATGACCTGTCCACATTGCATTCAACAGTTTTATGCTCCCATTTTTATAAGTGGGCGACTATCAAAGACCAAGCAAGTACTTTGATAGCCTTCACAATTTACGATATGGATTACTGACCAATAATCTTACGAACATGCCATGTCCCTACGTGAGCGTGCCACTTCAGTTGGGCAAACTAGACCTTTGGAATCAAAATATGGAGGCATCAAAAGATTGATTCCTTATGACCATATTTGGGCATAAATGCAGACCATTTCTAACTTACCAAACACATAAAAATAAGATAGTGTTTCAAGAAGGAGCATGCCTGATCTTGAGCAGAAATGCTGGAAGTACCTCCTAAGCAAAATAATATTGCTCCTTTCATAACAATTTGAATTATATAGGTAGTGAAAGGCAATCAAGGAATTGATTCACTTTAAACAGATAATCATAATATTGATTCCCCATCAGCTGGCTAATCATTATTTTGATTCACAGGTAATGTTAACAGATAGGCAACAATTACTTGCAAGAATACAGCATTTATCTTGCTATTATTCTCATTTAGTGGTATCCTCAGCACCACAACAGATACCTATAGCATTGTTGTACTTTACCTTCACTACATTTGATAACAATTCACAATTTTTAAATGTCAAGAATACAAAAACTGAAGCAACAGGTAAAAATCATATAATAAATATAAAAGCACTACAACAATGATAATTAGGGGTTTGAAAATTTCATTTTGCCATTTTACACAGATACTGATTGTTTAGTATGCGATTCATGATACAAAAATAACATACAGTGTGATTTCCCCAAAACAGCTTTTACGTGGTGGACAGTGCCTCTGTCTTTTTCTCATTCACAAGGCCAGAGGGACAATTTCTTAGTTTTGAGGTAACACTTTTTGCAAACTTACCACATTTTTCTACCTTTTTAAAGAAAAATCTCACCGTCATGGGCCTTTTTTCAACCGTAACGATACATTTGAAGTCAAAAGTGTACCCAAATGAATCAAAAAAATTGATTCCATGCCCATATTTGGTCATGGCTCCTCCCACCAGAATCAAATTATTGATGCCTCCATATTTTGATTCCAAAAGTCTAGTTTGCCCAACTGACTTGCCAGACTACTTTCAACTTTAACTGCTCGAGCCTCAAATTTGTTTGTGTCTAGTAACAATGGTTGACATTCAAAGCTAAAAAACCACCACTGATGCTTTGTGACAGACCCCATTGACATGCTATTGTTATAGGAATAGGCATGGATGCTAACAGCAGCACACAACTGAAGGAATTAGGCAAACAAATAATGACTAATTTTGGGACACACTAAGTGACGGACGATCAATAGATCAAAATGAGTAAATTTGTGAAGTATATAATGGTCACCTACAGGGAATCACTTTCATTACACGTGGAAAAATCATTTTTAGTTTTCACACCGTTCTCAGCAAGCGTTCAAGGATGATAAATTGCAGCCATCTCACTGCAAGCAATAGTCCTAATCAAGGCCATAAATCGAGGCATGCATCTAAAACCTTCAAGAGGCTTGAAACTGTAAAATGGACAAAAATAGCAAAATAATCGCTTCAAAATATCATAGTATATCATTTATATCAAAATATACAGTCTGAGTACCGTGTTTTCTGTGACATATTGAAGAAAAATGAGACTGAAACTGCAAAATACATGACGTCATTTATAGAAATCAATAAAATAATAAAAAATGAACTGGCGCACTAGTCACCACTAACGTCTCTAAATTCTAAAATAGCCCTTGGATGCGGCCACGAAATTGTTTTGTTATAGACGCTGGGATCTATATATGGCCTTGGCTGGGATAAGCTTTGTATTCCTGCTCCCTTGTCTCAAGCCTGCCCTGCGATGTTCCGTGGGCCATCGCATCGCCATCCGGGCCTCGGTTATATCGCCTTGCAGGCCTCTGTGCCGGGTCAAAAATGTTGCCGAGGCAGTTGCCTCGGTTGCTGCCAAATTGTTTCGCAAGCCTCCTCCCCCGTGCATCACCATCGGGACTTGCTAGGGACGCAGGGTAGAATCATATTAAAAAAAAGAGCTTATCTCATTCTTGATTTGTATCGAATCGGATCACTTAGGCCAACGTTTGGGTGATACGATGCAGGAGCTACATCTAGCCGCGAGCAAAGCACAATAGTCACTAATTAATGTTAATTACTGAATGCCTATGCTACCAAAATCACTGTGCGTCTTACACTGTCATCGATGTATTGCCCTATACGCTCTCAGCACACACAGATATACACACGGTCCTATTGATGATCACTGGTTGTGTGTACGCTGCACGTGCGGCGGAACGTAGTCGGCCTGCGTGGGCCGCTTCTTGCGCAGCAGTTTCTGAACGTGCGGCGGTTTGGGCGGCTGCGGCCGGTTCCACTGGCGGTCCACCTCCGCCAACAGCTGCTCCTCGCGGTCAAAGAACCACAGCAGCCGCTCGCGTTCGCGCAGCTCCTGGCGCTTCTCTTCGAGTGCCTGCACGCGGCGCGCGCGCTCCTCAGCCTGGCGCTGCTGCTCGAGCGCCTCCAGCCGGCGGCGCTCCCAGTCGGCGTACGTGGCGCGCAGCTGCGCCACCGCCGCCGGCTCGTGCTCGGCCACGGCGCTCTCGGCGGCGCTGCGCAGCGTCTCCAGCAGCGGGGCGTCGGCGGCCGGCAGCGCGGAGACCCGCGCCGACAGCGCCGCCGCGTCCGGGCACGAGTCGCCGGCGTCCGCCAGCAGACCGGCCACCCGCTCCAGCTGGCGGCGCGGCACACACACACACTGTCAGGGCGGCGGTGGGCGGGAGCACATGGGGTACAGGGGATACGACGGCAGATACGGT